CGCGGTTAACAGCGATAAAATCTGGACAGTGAGATATGCTCGGAACATTTACACTGAGGTGGTTCTAGCTGAGTTGTCGAATTACAACGAAAAACCCCGCACTTTGCGGTAAAATGTTTGTTATTTCTGCCCGATCGGGCAACGCTGGTACTCAAATTTGAGTGGGTGGTTTTAACGTTATTCGTTCATATTTCATGGTACGAAACCGTGAAAGGTATATCGAGCGGCAGAGAGTGAGGCTGGCCGGACGCTATTATTGTTATTTTACAACGTAAACAGTATAATTATCTAATTATAGTTATTACCTCAAACTATTTTCCACACCTCGTAGCTTCGGGCTGCGTTTAACAATATCAGATGAAACATTCAGCTCCGCCAGCGGAAAAAAGAACTTTGCTCACTCGGTGACCTATTGAGCCTTCCGAAACATGATATGGTGAACAAGAGTATGGTCCGTTGGTACATGATTGAAACTGTACTAAATATGAAGAGATCGGAGTGAAAACTTGCTCCACGTACTTAGGAATGTTCTTCAAAATTCAGGGCAGAAATCTGGGCATTTTTTAGGAAATAATTGTCGCAAGAGAATACACACGAATGATTTGAAGTTTGAAAACATACTCTGAACACTCACTAGACACGTTCCAGGCAATATCCGATCACGACACTTCATTGCCCGAGAAATTATTTTAGAGAATCACACACGAAAGCATATACATTCAAAGAACATTCACTCGCACTTTGAGAAGTCACCGGGCAGAATGATATAAATTACCATTCCCGGCACCTAATTTTTCCGAAAACGTTAATTTCTAGTCAGAAGATCAAATCACGTTGAGGTCTCATCCGTCGAACGCCAATCAGAATAAAAGATCACTTTTATAATATAGATATGTTTCACTATTCTACGGCCAAGAGCAAGCAGTCTTTGATAAACGGGAAATGTCCTTCAAAGAAATGGCTGTGCAATCAATAAGACAATGATTGCGTGCCCTTATTATTGCCCTGTGCTTTGGATTAAATCGGTTTCTATTAACTTTAGCCTTGACAATTTCCTACTGCAAGAAGGGGAGGGGACCGAACTAAAAGAAAAACCAATTAAAAAAGTTGTCTAGTTTTAAGGTTTGAATTTTTTCTTGATGGGGGCACTAATATCGGGTAGTCGGGAATTCCTCTCTATAATTTAAGTTGTTCTCTTTGAAAAAGGTTTTCTTATGTGTGCATTCTTGTTATTTAAATTATTTTATTACATTTTTCAGGAAGAAGTTGATGTTCTCGAGCAAGTCATGCAAAAATGATCCTGCACTGGTCTCTTTGAGTCTTGGACGTTATTTTTACAGGCCTTTTCGCGAAGCAGAAAACAAGCGAAATTTATAAAAGAGATGCACGATCGAAGAATAGTCGATGGTAGAAAGACTCTACTGTGTAGGTACAATAGAGTATGATGGCATATTGAGATACTAATGGTAAGCCTGTGAGGTCCAGCCATTGAAATGCGATTTTGTGATAAAGGAAATGAAACATTGGAGAGAGTTTTTCACGACCAAATGGTACTTTTTGTGGTATCCCTCAATTACTAAAAGAGGAACTTAAAATGAACCGCGAAACACTGGACACCGGTTGATAAATTTTTTATCAGACTCATACGAATAAAAACCGGATAAAATTGAAAAATTGGTGCAGGGTGGGGACAGTCTTTCCCTTAGGCAACTGACCATTGCAGAAGTGCCCCTAGCAGGAAAAGAAAAATTATATCCAACGCCGCGCACGAGTAGCCGTAAAATTGAATCGACCCGAGGACAAAAGTTACGAATGAAGTTGAACTTCATTTTTAATAAGGTAAGTAATCACATATACAGAAGATGAAGTTAATGCCAGCTTTGCTTTGACGCTTTTTCCCCCTTTTTTATATTCTGGAAATTAAGGTTTGAATAAGTAAGGGCCGGAGATGAAAAGGACTGGAGGATAAATGTTTTAGGTAAGTTACAACTGAATTAATTAAATATTTCATCAAATACAAAGAAAATGGCAAACTTTCCAGACCTGGAACATGATTTCCTTGTTTCAACTCGGTCCCTTCTTTTGTGTCATCGTCTCCTCCCCCTCCCCGCTTCCTCGCTCTCTCCTTTCTGCCACCGCCGCCGCCAGGTTGCTTCCACTCTCCAACTTCTTCCGTCTTCAAAGCTCCTTCTAGAGAACAGAAAATTTGACAAAAAGTTAGCTGCATGTTTAATTAAGAATAAACTCTTAAAATGAGAGACGCGCGTCTTGAAGGGTAGAGTGAGTCTTGGGGAAAAGGGGGAGGGAGTGGTTATTTTGCATACAAACGTATTCTTGAGTTTCTGATGTTTTTCTTTTCACTTCCATTTCTCGTTTGTGCTTTGAGTGGCTTTCTTTGGTCTCATCAATTTCATCCACCAAAAATGCAGTCTGGAATACGGTTTTTGGTAAAGCCATCATCAAGTCAAGAGAGTCCTGAGACTTTCAGACGTCTATTCCATTGTAAATTTCCTCACAAATATCATGCAGCCGGTTCTGTTTGGGATTACTTTCGACCCAAGTAACAGTGATCGCGATAAGTTGTAATTTGATCGGATAGTGTATCGCGATTTTATCGATGTAGATTAATTGCGATATTCTCGGATAAAAAATTGCGATAAATTACGATTTCATGGCATAAATTTGCAATAAAATTACGATTTTACCGACGGTGATTGATTGCAATAAAATCGCGATTTTACCGACGGCGATTTATTGCAATATTATCGAACAAAAAGTCAAGATACCTAATTGAGATAAACTCTCGATTTTATCGAACGCGATTTTGTAAAATAAAATTACGACAAGATCGAGGATAATCGCTCAAATGTTGGCCGGTGTTTCTAGCGACTTCATCGCCAAAAAATCGTAAAAAAAAATCGCAACTTAATTTCAAAACATCACGATTTTTCCCTTGAAAAATGCTCCTTGGGAAGTGTAAGTAAAGACAAATTTTAAGCTTTAAGCCATGATAAGGGTCATCACCGAAAAAAATAATATGCTGTTTTAGCATCTAGGATGTCAAAAATGTGTCTGGTGATCCCAAGATGCTGCCTTTACTGCCCCCGCAGTTAATTTTACATCCTGTGAATGCAAATTCAACTGCGGGGGCAGTAAAGGCAGCATCTTGGGATCACCAGACACATTTTTGACATCCTAGATGCTAAAACAGCATATTATTTTTTTCGGTGCACTCCTGCAACACAAGACGATTCACCTCTTCATTCACATAAGTTCTTCATGCAAAAATATGAATTAAAAAATAGGTAAAAAACATGTTCTAAACTAGGTAAAACACCAAGTTTTCTTTGAGTTTCGGTAAATTCATTTCGCTTGAAAACTCGCTTTTGACTAAAATTAAAATGTGACGAGAAAAAAGTTCATTAAATTAAAAAGCGATCAAATTAAGAGGTTTTGAATGGTCATTCAGAAACCATTCAACCAATGAATTTAAGTTTCTTTCAGCCATTCTTGACCGAAAGATAGCACTTCCGCCGTTTTAGGAATCCCACTTGATGAAAGGGTCTTTCACTGTAGGAAGATTTGTATCCACATTTTGGAGCGAAAACATAGGTTTATTCGTATACACTGAGGTTTGGAAATTGGTGAATGATGATGCCATGATCTTGATCATGCCATCAGTGTTGGAGAAATTTTAATACTTAGGCGCGTGCCTTATTTTTTTTTTTTTTTTTTTTTTNCTTTTTTTTTTTTTTTTTTTTTTTTTTGTCCCTTCAGTCAAATAATTATGTGATGTGCCAGACTGCGGGTAAAAGCTCATTTATATTGGTGGACTGCGATAGTGTATTTTTGAAACTGATTAATACACCTCAGACAAACTAACGGGCCAACGAAAAATTCAGCCGATGTGGGAAATCAGCGAAGTGACACTTATGCCTCGATAAAGTTCCTTCAATAAAAGCGGATGCAACAACTCATGCACGCAAAAAAGTGCCTCTGAAACGCGGAGTGAAGGCGTTTTGTACGTTAGCGACACTTGCGCCTCGATAAATTTCCTTCAAAATATGCGGATGCAACAGCTCTTGCACGAAGAAAAGTATCTCTTGGACGCGGAGTAAAGGCGTTTTGTGCGGTACGAAGACGTTACAGCCGTACTATTTGACATGTGAGCTACTGTAAGGGGGTTCATTATAATAAAGTATCGGATATGTAGAGACTACATACTTCTTTCTTATATCAGTCCTCAGAGACAGTCTTCTATCATTTTAAATTCCTTAAAAGAATGTCAATTCAATAAAGAATCTTTTATTTTTTTGAGTAGATTTACCATGAGCAATTATGGTTTTCGCCTGAACTTGACTCTCTAAGCTGCTACTCCTTTCATTATTTTTAATCAAGAAGAGAAAAATATGGAAAATGTCCTTTAAGGACCTTCGATCAGTCTTGACTTTTAAGCTGTTGATTCGAGTCTGCTTTTTTTTTTCAACTTTAACACTTATCAAGACTTTTCTCGAGCGTTCTACCAGGACAAGATTGAATGTGAAAATGATTCGTCAAGGTCAGCCTCTCTTTACACAAGAAAAAAGTTATCAGACCAGAACATGGCAACTCCAATTAATTTAACATCGTATAAACTCAGAATCAACTAAAAAGAATGAACTCATGGTAAGTGACAAGGGTTAGGCATTCATCAATTGAATCATGTCGTGCGAAAACCGCAAATTTCCATTTTTTCAGCTTTCAGTTTTTTTATGTTGATAATACACTTCAAGAGTTGACGCAATCATGGAAGAGGTGCAAATACTTGTTTTGGGATGAGGATAACCCTAAATCAAGTATTAATACCTTTTTCATGGTTGCATTAAACTCTGAGAAGTATTATCAACCTAAAGAAACTCAAGGCTGAAAAACTAGGTATTAAAAGTTTTTGCACGACACGATTCAATTTAATATTACAAACCTACAAATCATGGAGCATGAAATTAAATGAACGCTGAAAGATAATCTAAAATAAATTTTATTTCATAGAAATAAAACAAAATCTGTTAACACTTAACAAACAAACATGTAACTCTGGTGACAGCAAAGTATACAAACTAGAAGAACACATTCTTAAAAGATATTTCATCTAAGGGCGAGATCAGTCTACACTGCAGCTATGTATGGAAGTAAGAATTGATGACATTTCAATATTCCATGTTTGAAATTTAGAGTATCTTAACAAAATTAAACAAAACAGTATTACTAAAACCAAAATTTTAAATGGGGGAAAATTGTTCATAATCATCTTTAATTTTCTTCAGAGCTCAAGATAGATGTTAATTGTGAACCTGCAGTTAACCAGCCTTTTTAATGAAATAATTAGCAATTCTTTTGTAGATTTTGTAACACAATTTTTGAACAGTGGGTCACTGTCTTGAAAATCTTAAAGACTGGGGTCCGAGATTCATTGATCCAAAAATTAAATATCCCTCTGCCTCTATTTTCTCTGTAGTGTAAGTACATTGTTAAATTCATCAATTTGTATTTGATGATGGTTACTGTCAGCCATATAGATCTTAAGAACACTAGATTTTGTTCGTTTCTAATTTCAAAATGTGACCAGATTGCTTGTTTGCTATTTTATTTGGTTTACTTGAGATTTCCTTAAGTTTTCCAGTACTGAAGAATATGGGCGTCCCTATCAAAACTTTTACTGTATTTTTGTTTTTTCTAAGAAAGCAGTGATGTATAAAAACAAAAACTGGTGTTCGATTAGCTGGATCTATCTACTTCACTTGTTTAGAGCAGTCCCAACCATGTTTTGAATTAATTTCATGTTACAATATTAAGGTGCTACCCAGCAATATGTCAAAAGCAATGGTGTGGCATGATAATACTGGCTGCATGGTGTTCCACTTAAACAAGGAGTATGGAATTTTAAGCGTTAAAAGAATTGATGAAGTATACTAAGGGGATGGTATACATTTGAGATACAATGGTATTCTGTCTTAGTTACTTCCAGATCATTACTTTAACGATACAAGCTTGTTAAAAACTCAAATAAGATGTCCAGAAAATTTGAACAGCAGATGTTTAGAGGAATTATATAATACCTAGGTGTATTAAAATGACCATAAGGACAGATTGTTGTGTATTACGTACGTACATAAAAGCTCCTTTGTTGTGTATTGATAGTGAAATTTTACAGCCTATCAAATTTTTACCGAAAAAAGGTGCATAGATGTCTAAATCCACAATTAGGTATTCCTATAAAAATGTGCCATTAATTGAAGAAAAATTGAAAATAAAAGTATATTTCAATCATCTTCATTCTAAATAGTGTACACAGTGCAATTTAAGGGTGTAAATACAGTTCAGAAGTCGAAATCGCCTGGGAAGTTTTTGACCAAAAATTATGAATCTTGGCCTTCAGTCCTGGCATCAAAACAGGTCATTGTTGACAAACCACCTTGTATTACAATTGTCAGGTCAGTGGACCTAGTCATCAGTCACATTGAAATTTAATGTTCTTAAAATTTAAACAATTTCATCCAAATTTCCCCTTTTTGAGCATAGGCAAAGTGTAAGAGCATACATTAACACCATTCAAAATGAGATGATTCTCTAGTCCTCTCTTCAGTTAAAATTTCTCAAAATCACTATTACGTAGTTGGTTGGGCAAACTCACAGGGCAAAAAAAAAAAAAAAAAAAAAAAAAAACGAAGGAGAAAAAATTGTCTGAACTACCTATTTCATAGATATTGAAGCTTCTTTGGTGCCTACGCAGGTGTAATATGAGTAATGGTATTGTAAAATGAAAAAATACACCAAAAATGTATTAACAAATGAATATCACACACACTATGAAAAGAATAAGGAACTTAAAGTTTGAACAATGATTCCACCTTTTGACAATGAAAAAGATCTTAGCATCAAATCCTTCATAGGTACAGGAATAGATAGGTGCTAAGTATGTATTACAAGGACAAGCTTTAGCCATAAATCTAAAATGGTAAAGTAAAGAGATTTCCAAAATGATTACAATTTTGCTTATCATGAGGCTGACTTTTGCGGAAAAAATTTAACTATCAGCGTGCTAAAGGATAAAGTTGAAAAAAAGTTAGGACGCAAATAAACTTAGAACTTTCATGCATATCCCAGGTATGTCTGAATCACCAGAAATTCTACTGTGCTGAATTTTCAGAAATTACAGAGCAGAATGTTTTTCAGCGGTTTTAGAGAACAGTATGTGGTAAAAAGGCCTATTCATTATTTACAAATATTAGTATTCAAGTTCCTGTGGAACACAAAGCCTAGTGAAAAATACTTTTCTACTAGAAAAAAGGATAATAGAACCAGTAAACATTTGAATAGCTAAGAGACAAGATATACCATTGCAGATAAAAATAAGATATCAAATAGCAGTAAGATTTCCTTCCATTGTTGTTCAAATCCACCCACTGGAATAAGAAGAGTCTGGGAGCAATTTTCTTTGATGCAGTGTCACGTGCTTACAGTGCTAGAGGATTGATCTAACTATGCAAGGGCCTTCAAGTATGCTTGTTCTTAGAATGGATGCTTGGACTTAATTTCCACTCTTGCGTGTGTTCCTTATGCTCCAGCTTGGCATCTTCAAGACAGGCTCCTCATTCCTTTTCATCCGAAGAAGAATTTGCCACTTGTTTTGAGAACTTAAATCTTTGCTGATATTTATTCTATGTCCATGGTTATGAGCAGGTTTTGGTCGCTGTTGATAGGATTGGTTTAAGGATATTGTTTGATGCTGATACAGTATTCAGATGCTACAGACACTTTAACACCTAGAGACCTCTGTTTAGGAAGAAAAACTTCGAATTCCAAAGTGACTTTGACTTGAACCATTTTCGGATGTGAATCACCCCTCAATATGCGGTACTTTTAGAGACAGCGGACTTAGGATGATGATATTATGTCTCCAACCATATGAAAGTTTAAGATTTTCCTCTTAAACGATTTTCACAGGGATACAAGAGAAAATTGCAACAAGAAATAGCGATAATGCAGGCGTCGTAAATGAATATTGAATTAAGGGCCTCTGGTGAAAGAGAAAAAAGAAAAAAGAAGAAAATACTTGAAGGTACATACAGAAACACCCAATTATGCTTCTGTTCTTCATGTATAGATAAAGATGCAGTACTTACTACTAAATTGAAATAAAGAAATCTTGAACTAATTTGAAGATACTAGGCATTGCTAGCAGTCGTCTTGCATGAAAATTCCAGTTTTCTTTGGTAGCAATGGTAGCCAAGAACGGTATCTTCAAAGGACTGGGCAATTTAAACAGCAGGTACTCGCACCCATGCGCGGTACAACATCATTTTTCTGCTTCAATGATGAGTTTTTCAGGTCTAAATAATTGATTGACTACAACCTGAAATGAAAGATAGAATATTACATATAGGTGAATTTGACTTCAAACGAGAGTGATTAGAGAGCCCACACAAACAATAATACAGACTTCTGGAGTCTAAGCATCAGCATGAAATCATTACTCGACTGTTATAATTGCACACTCCATTAAAGTTTTTGATTATTAAGAAACATTGATTGCATGTTCATTTATTTGATTAGTTGTTAAATAGTTGCAGTTCATGTTTCCAATAGGACACATTTTTTAAAGACTTTATCTGGGCATCTGACTACTTGTTTCTGAGAACTGGCATCAAATCAACTGAGGAATATGTGGTGCAACAATCTTAAGACAGTGTATTTTTCACAGGAGCATTATGCATTCAATTAAGATATTGCTATGGTTGGTAATGGTAAAAGGTAAACGGTATTTTTGGAGAAAATTTTAAATCCCAAAGAGGTCTTATTTTGACCCAAAAAATCGAACCATAAATTATTGTACATTGCCTCTGGGACACTGACTCCCTAAATCATTACAAAATTTGAACTAAGTTTGCAAAAACTTTTTATGTACTAGGTCTTATCCATTCACAGAAATATATGCAGGAATACCTTGGATCTTTCCTTACCTGTCTTTTAATAATTTCTAAATTTGATAATCCTTCCTTGTAAAGTTCTTCTATTTTTGAGGGATCAGTTGTGGTCTTGTTTTCATGAAACGCATCTCGTACTCTTCGTAGTGTATACATCCTGGAACATTGAAGGCAGTATTAAAAGATTGAAGGAGACATAGAAAGTTTCAGTAGACCATAAAACAAAATATCTAATGAATTAATGCTTTTAGTGACAACAAAAAGGTATTGAAAATAAGAGTTGACATGGGACTATGGGACAATGTTTACTCTTTTTCGTTAAAAAAATTGCAAAACAGAACAAAAAACTTAATGATCTTTCAGTTCAGGAGAAATTAGGTCATGCAATGCTTTAGTTTATAGAAGGGGTTGAAGAGATTTGCCCAAAATATTCTGAAAACTTCACAAAAAGATGGATAAGTACTGGTAGAACCTCCTTTGCACAGATGTTGGACATAATAAAGGCTTAAAACCCAGTCAATAGGTGGAAAAGTATTCTTGTTATCAATTTGGCAGAGAAGAAAGTTCCCTAGCTATGCAATCAGCCATTATCATCCCATTCTTGGCCAATTCATTTCTTGACGCTTGATTCGTTTAACTTCATAGGCAACAGCATTTCTACTCAATTACGACCCCTCCTTGCCATCTTTGATTTTTGTCTGAGGTAGAGAATTTAGAGATATCAAGTAGTCACTGTGTCTGCTGTCGACAAGAAAATGGCTGGTTGCTCTGACATTGATATCAAATACATCGTGTTTCCTCCATAAACACCATACCTGTAGTGAATAAAATTTTAAGTGCACCTCTTAAAGAGCACTCTCCAACCTTGGGAAAACGTAAGCGATTTGTCAAAACTATAGGAAAATGACAGTTCTCTACCGCAGACTTCAGCTGCAATTACATGAGCAGTCTGAAAGTAGGTCGAATCACTACGGCGTAGGTCTGCAATCACATATCTCATTCGCAGTGTCTAAAAATCTCCGCCTCTATGGTATTTTCTTAAAGGAGAAAAAATTGACATCAATTCTTGAAGTTTTTTCAGAATTATCTTCTCACAGGGAAGAAAAATCAGGGCAGTTGTAAAGAACTGCTGGTGAGTAGTTTTCCGTTTAAAAAATAAAGCATGACAGGAAGTCTGTAATGTTGCAAACCGAGTTATGTGATTCCCAACTTACGCTGATGATCAATAACATTCACAGGCTAAATTGACAGTCTACAGTGGCTCACCAACAACTGTAACATGTGTGTATTTGCACACTAGCCAACTGTACGATTGAGATTGCTCCGGTGATAGCAGTCTTAGCTGGGACAATGAGAATAATTTGCTCCTTCTTCACAGACTTCTCTCTCACCTGAATGGCAAGCAAGATCTGTTACACACACATTTGTGAAATGTGAGGTCCAATTTAGAAAGATTTGCTTGAAATGATTTTGGGGAGAACCAAGCTTTCTTTGAAGAGCTGATCTGAATGCCAGCCCAAGTTATGCCATGACATTCAGCTTTACCAAACGCTTGCGATCCACTTTATCCTAGATCTTACATCATGATTTGGCTAGATTTTTACATGATAGCCTGGCATTCTTATGCCTCAAATTCTTCAAATAATTGATGAAAATACCTGTAATTATAAGATGGAAACTTGGAGCCCTCTCGTATAAGGGCCTTATACAACTTTAGTACACCGGACTTGGAGACAGTCATTCTTGAAATTTAACAGACCTAATGATAACTTAAAACACTAACACGAATTCCCCTGTACTTGCACCATAAAATTTCACTTCCGGCTTCAATTTTTTTCCTTTACCATGTTCAATTCAAGTTCAACATGCTTTCGAGAAATAAAACATTGATTGAATAACCATTCACTAACCTCACTTTTCAGTCAAAGACAAACATGCAGGGGAAAATTAGCAGCGCCATCTGTCGGGTATCCTCTTTATGCCTCTGTGAGAAAGCGTGGCACTTTTAAATTCGAGCGCGCGCATCACCACCCCCCTCCCTCCCTCTTCGACTTGTTTTAAAATAATTCCCAAATGGACCTGGGACCAAACAAGTATTTATCTGCATTAATATAACAATTACTTTTTTTTTAAAAAAAAAAAAAAATAATTCGATAAAAAAATTAGTGAAATGAAACATTTACTTAAATAAAATAAAAGAAACATAAAAACATAAAATAAAATCAGCAAGAACAGTTCAAGGAAAATGAAAGAAACGAGAGAGGATAAAATAAAATTAAACAAACGAAAAAGATTAAATAACATACGTGAACAAGGATAAGATAAAAGAAACAATAAAGATGAAATAAAATAAATAAGGGAAAATAAGATAAAATAAGAAGATTTAATTTTGCACATACAATATGAAAATCGATCTCCGGAGTAGGTAGTTACAAGTAGTCGTAACGATAAGGTCTCCGACATCAATGAGATTTTAACTGCAGACTACGGGAAGAAAGCGAGTGCTCCTTCAATTTTTGGCCATGCAACAAGGCCATCTTTCAAGGAGGTCTAGTTGCGTCGAAACGTGAATTGTGATTCAGCGTGCGGTTGTGTGCATCCATTCACTGCGACAGGAACAATTCGCGTTGGCTTGCATGTCTTTTTTTAGTCCATTCCAAAGACGAGATGGAGTTATTTTGTTTTACTGACCACTCAGTTTTTCAGGACATGAATTTTTAACTTCAAAAATGAGAAACACAAGCATTATTAAGTTCTGGGGGGAAAGGAATGTATGTGAATCCATGAAAGTAATCTTAGACCCTATTTTACTGTGCCAAATATCCCGTTATCACCCGTTATCACCTGAACGGGACACGAAAGATATCGTCATTATTTTCAATGAAAGGGAACTGCCACTTAATATTTTTTTCTCAATGCAATTCCAGTTTTTTTCAAAATAAATCTCAACTCGCAATAAAATGAGATAAAGAAGGAATTTGCAAAAAATTCCTATCACTTAAAATTATCGAACGAAATTTTGCTCACGGAATGCTATCATTATAATAACATGTACATGCATGGCGTTGCGTGATTTAAAAAAATCGCTACCCGATACGGGCAATCTATGCAGCGTGCCACGGCGCTTGAAGCAACTATTTCACACCAGAGGGATTGCACAGTATCATACGAAACTGAAGGCGCTCTAATATATTAGGAATGACAGGCATCCATCAAAAGTACGGAGCTTTCCTCGCAAAATAAATCAAGATACCACGGCCCAAAAAGAGAGCAGTAGTCCAAAAACTCACGAAGTCCTATCATCCATAATTAGTAACGTTTATCATACACTTTATCGCCCGGCTGTTGCTTAGTCGCCATCGGCTAAAATAGGCTATGAGAAATTGTGTAGCCGGCTATAGAAGCTATTGGAAATCTTACAGCCGGCTGCAGGTCTATGGTATTTTGGAACACAGATTCTACTGCCAATTTTTACCAGGGTAGTTTTCTTTTTCATTTTCTATACATCAGGCCGTCCGAAAGTCCCCGCTTAACCTCTTATTTTTCAGCGCTACCACTTAACTTCAGTGCGATCTCTTCCTTCAATCGAATAAATACTTACTTTATTGCTATTATTTGCAGCCAACATGAGCTCAGGAACCTGGAGTAAGTAAACAAAGTAGGATGCATGATAAACTTTGTCCTATAGTTTCAAGTCCATCTGTACGCTAAGTACTTCACTCCACATTTCAGAAATATTATTAAAAAATCAAAAAAGGAACGGCTCTTTGAGTGATTAAGTGGCTACATGATTTGCCGGCACCTTCTGAAGCAGCATTTTAAAAAAATTGCTTTGTCGGCTGATAATCGAAAGAAAAATCGTTTTGCTCGAATGCAGCTCAATGCGAAGATAAAATGATCAATGAAAACTTTATCAACTCAGCAACTTTGACTCCTCCATTTTATTTATGCTCCTGTGTTGATAAATGGAATATGCTGACACCTCACTAAAAACACCTACTCAAAAGCACACACTTCAAAGTCTCGTTTGATATTCTATAATATTTATGAAAATATAGGTACAAACAAAGCTACAAAGTGTAACTTATGCTGCCAATTTTCCCAGACCGCTCCGATCAAGTACAGGACGTCACACTGGATTCAAAACCAAAGATTTCAGTCCCTCCCGAAAATTTGCTTCAGCTTTTCGAAATTATAGCACTCGCTAACTCCTTGGTGCATATTCCACCGAAAAGTAATGCAGTTTTTCTTCGTTTAAAGTATTTCTTAAGTATTTTCTTAGTAAAGTGTTTCATATTCACTATCTTAATTTTTCTTCGCCTTCGGCAGAATATTCTGAACATATATTTCAAGCAATAAAGCTAGCTTCTTTCTCATTTAAAAAAGAAAGAAAAAAAAAAAAAACAGAAAAAAATGAGTAAACAAAGAGCAAGAAAATTTCCGCAATCCTTCGATCCCAGGATTGCAGGCTCGCGGTGTGAACACCAAAAGGCAACGAGGATATAGTTCGCTTGACGTCGAGCTTGAGGGATTGAAATCTGTAGTAATAACATTTTTTACGAATAAATTCAACCTTTCCGCTCATGAAAGAAAGGATAATTTACTTTGGTTAAATTGCATGCCAAACGTCACTATGACAGTCTCAGTAATATGAAAATATGGCAACATCAATCTTGACGCTATAAACTCAAGCTGTACACACTTTGAACAACACAGCGTGGGGATGAAACGACGCTCGATTGAGTAGTTTGCTAAAGTCGTTGTGGTGCGCTATTTGACTCGCTTCGGCTTAGGGTTTTGTTTTTCTTGTGACCGGGCAATTCAGTTCCCGTAACCAATGGACAGTAAAAACGTTAATATCATAGCTAGAAGTTGATTTCAGTAGTTTCCGTCGCGCGAATCGTGTCCTGCGTGAGATTCTGTTGAAAAATCATGTATCAGAGTGCTTAAATTCGTAACTTGTTTGTTCCATTGAATCTAAAAAAGCGAACATAAAAAACTCTCCTAACTTTTCTTAGAAAAAATATTTTATCCGGAGAAACGAGGCAACGTTTGACTGCTCATACGATGTCGAAACACAACATGGACCTTTTAAGCCCTTCGATGCCGCGATTATCCTAACGTGAGTTCGAATAATCGCGTCAAACACGGTGCAGTCGGCTTCTAACTCATACCAGCGCCTGCAAGACCACCGGAATACTTCATGCGTTGCGCCAAACAGTGCGGTCGGCGTCAGCGCCTACAAGACTGCGTGAATACTTCTCGCATTGCACTAAACGCAATGCGAATTACTTGCGATAACTATTCGACTGTGGGTATAGTCACATTGCCGTTAACTCAACCGGATTGAAGGCGCATCACACTGTGAACATGACTACATGACTCGACACTTACGCTCCCTTCCCTGGCTTGCGCAACGTTAAAATCGCCGCAAAACCAGGACCACGCGGCTTTCTTTTGACGGCCCCTGCCGGTTTTTACCACAATTAAAGGGGTAATAATATGTATCTTAATTGCAACGATTCAGAAACTTGGGCGATGTTCAAACGATGCAGCTATTCTGAAACTTGATTCGCGTAAAATTAATTTTGGTTTAATAAAAAGAAAACAAAACGAACGAAAATATCGCGTCAAAATTTTCAACGCTTATATTTGAGATCATATAGGACACTGCAAGGAAACTCTTCAGAAAAACTGTGTGTAGCTTTTTAAAAACGGTAATCAAAAATAAAACATAAAAAGTGGTGCATAACGTTGCAATCAGAGATGGATACGCTTTCATTCGCGTCCACCCGTCGGCTTTTGAATCCATTCATCTCTGAAGTAACTAGAACATGGTTGTTCTGATATTTTTTACGTGTCGTTTCTCTTGCAATGGTTTACTATGATGCGTAAAAATAAAAAATCATTGTGCAAAAGAAAAAAACAAAATGAAAAAATAATTGTCTCTGAAGCGCCCCAAAGAGCGCACGTCAAGGGATTGGTATTCTTGCGAGAGTTATAAACATAGAAATAACATACTTTATAAACTCTCAAAATCAATCTATTAAAATACGGGCCAATTTGACCCGACTCGAAACTTTGCGTGAAAAAAAAAGCCTTGGGCATCTAAAGGATGAAATACGAAACAGCCACAAATTTCTTAGAATATTCTCAGCCTGTTAGAAGAAATTTTGCGACGTCTATGATGCCATGGGGCGTTTTTCCGTAACACGGCGATGGCTCAGAGGAAAACGCTAAGAAGCGCGTGTTTACTCGAACAGGTATCTGATTAGAGTGGTAACGAGTCAAAGATTCAGCGCAAAATGACAATACAATAAACAGTCGCTGACACCTCACGATATTTCAACGTTGAAATCCGTTAAGTATGATCGCAGCAAGCGTAAGCTCAAAGCGGCACGAACTCCTCGTGACAAAACGACATTGAAACCACCGATCAGTTACTGAATCTATTGTTCACGACAATCAGGGCTACCATTCTTCCTGCTCAATCAGTGTCGGTCAGGATCCCTTCCTTCCTTATGTAACTTCAGAAGATTTATCTCCAGATTTTTTACTGTTTTCAGGGTAGGGAGTTTCCGCTACGCATCATATCTGAAACTAAGATATGAACAGAATTAAATTAAAAGTAACCAGGTCACATTTTTGGAGAAAATAAGAGTTATTGGTGGTTTTGTGTCGAAGCAGCCAGAAATTTTCTTCTGTCAATAAATTTTGAGTCAAGAGAAAATATTTTGAATGTGAAAGTAGGCGTTAAACTTGTACCATCAACATTGAGTCTCATGGAGGAATGAAACTTCCCGCATTCAAGCGGTTCGGCCTTGATGAGGCTTATACTGCCGTGCTAAGGAAGAACGCCGTATGAGCCTCCAGGCGTTGCCAAATTTCCTCTGGAAAATCACCA